TCTATTTTCCTTCTGTTGTTGCTGGATGACTTTGCAGAAGAGAAGGGACACAGATGTCTTTAATTCGCCATTTTAAAACAAGAAGTCTTTTTATTTATTTTTAAAATAACATTTTTTCTTAATTAGGAAGGGATCTATGTTCATCATGGAAGTGTTAAAAAATGCAGACAAGCAAAAAAGTAAAGGTAAAAACTGCTGCTAATTTCACCCACCAGTGGTAATTCCTGTTAACATTTTAGAGAATATTTTCCCAAATTTTCTCTCTCACTCATTACAAGTATAACAATAGAGTACATGTAGGTTAATTATATAGATATGTATTATATTGATTATATAAATTATTTAATATACATCTCTTTTAACCTTAATTACTTAGCTTTTAGGAAACATGGTATGGGTAACATTGAATAGTCTACAACACTATTTTTAATTGTTCTTGTACATTCCAGTGTATGAATACAACAAAAATTAACCAATCCCCGAGTTTGGACACTAATTTTGCCCACATATTGACTATTATAAGTAATGTTCATATTATTGCGTTCTTATTTAAAGATAAATGGGCGAAGCATGTTTTATTTTTCACTTTGCTCAGTAAAATCTTTCTTCAGTGAAATTTCAACTTAGGTGTCATCATTCATTGTGAATTAGTAGTTGACTATAAGTTATTATTATTATTAAAGGTCAGTGAGGGGGCACGATAGCAAATGGGAGGCCTAGATCTCTGCACCACTAGAGTTGAGGTAATGCTCTTGAACTCTGTGGCAGACCCAGGTGAAGGTCTGTGCAGCCACAGAGGCACAAAATACCACAGATTTACAAGGATTAAGACACCTCTCCTTGAGTCTTCCTGGTAGCATGAGGGGTTAAAATGCAGCACTATGAAGCTATCCATAGCCCCGCAGCATGAGTTCAATCCGGCCAGGGAGGTGGCCCACATGGCACAGCAGACCTCTCCTGTCTCACCAGCTGCTCCTCTCAGCAGTGTATTTCAGTAGATCCACCTGTTCTATGGTGAATCCTCTCACCCACTCACACAACAGGGCTGTACCCCAGTTCTTGCATGAATAAATAAATAACTTTTTTTTTTTTAAAAAAAAACACCTCTCCTGCCATGGTTCCTATAATCTTAACATCCAAAGATTGGCTCTACCTCCCCATAGGGATCTTTTAAAAAAGACTTCTTATTTTGAAGCAATTTAAAGCTTAAAGAACAGTTGCAAAAATATTACAGCTCTCCCTTATATCCCTCACCTCACACCCCTTAAGGTTAACATCTTATATCTTCATAGTAAAGTCATCAAGAACAAGTCATCAAGAACATTGGCTCAATACCAGCAACTAAACAAAAGACCTTAATTAAATTTCACCATCTTCCCTTCGCCCTCCTATGAATGTCCTAAATAAAAGACAAATAATTGTTTATGATCCCAATGATCCCAAATGGCTGTTAATTTTTACTTTTCCTTAGTCCATAACACTTCTTTAGTCTGTCTTCGTCTTTTGTGACCTTGACACTTTAATAAATACTGGTCAGTGACTTTGTAGAATGTTTCCCAAGTTGGATTTGTCTGTTATTGCCTCACGATTAAATTGAAGCTATACATTTTTTTTGAAAGATCACTAGAAGAGGTATTTTTAATTTTTTTGTCTTTTACTTTTATTATCTTAATTACATACCATTCTTTTACATCCTTGTTAATTTTTTGATAGCATAGTATTTCCCTCCTCAGGAGACTATGTATTTTGGCAAGAATACACTGAGCTCACATGTTTCTCAATGCATCATGTCAAGGGATTCATGAGGTTGACAAGTTTTATTCCTGGTGATATTTTTACCTTGGTCACTTGATTAAGCTGATGTCTGACTAGTTTTTTAGCTGTAAAGGTATTACATTTGCCTTTGTAATTTATAAGTATCTTGGAAGAAATACTTTCAGATAATGCAAATATCACTCCTCCTCAAACTTGTGCCCAATATTTTTAACATCCATCAGTGTTTGAAACAATTATTTTTAAATTTTGCCAGTTTGATATGTGAGATATATTTCATTATTGATTTATCTTGTAATTTTCTAATTATGAGTGAATTTGGGCACTACCCCTATATATCTGAAATCCATTTTTAGTATCTATTTCTTATAAATTGCTTATTCATGTCTTTTCCCTCTTTTTTGTGTTTTTGGTCCTTTGCAGTTCAATTATCCAGTTTTTTGTATATTAAAGATATAAGCACTTGCATGTGGTCTGTATTGTGAATCTTTTTTCCCAGTGCCAATTGCCTTTTAACTTTCTTTATGGTGTTTTTAGTGTAAAATGTTTGCTATTTTTATTTATTTATTTATTTATTTATTTATTTATTTATTTATTTATTTATTTATACAAGCACTGGCTACAGTCAGAAGCGTGGGAGGGTGAGAGAATTCACCAGAGCCAGAGCTGGGAACAGAACAGGCAGACTGACGAAATACACTGCTAAGGGGAGCAGCGGGCGGCAGGAGAGGTCTGTGCGCCATGTAGGACCCTCGCCGGTGGCCGGGGATCGAACCAGTGCTTCAGAGGCTGCGGGCAGCTTCGCAACCCAGCATTCAACCGCTGCGCCACCGGGGAGGCCCATGTTTGCTATTTTTATGTAGTTAAATATCAGTCTTGTTTTCTGTAGTTTCTGGATTTCATCCTTAAGAATCCTTTCTTTGTCTGAGGTTAGGAAGCATTTAATATGGCTTCTTCTAGTATTTGTATGATTTCATTTTTCACATTTGTCCCAAATCTACTTGAATTTTATTGGTATGGGTGGTATGAGGTATTGATGTCAATTTCTATTTCTCCAAATGGCTACCTCATTGTCTTAACATCATTTAGTAAGAAATGTCCATCTTTACCTAAAAGATTTGAGATGCCACAATTATCCATACTGAGTTTCTATATTTTGGGATCTAATCCTGTTTTATTTCATGATCTGTTTGTCTATTCATGTACCAATACTGAAATGTTTTAATTATGGGAGCTTTATATTTCTTTTAATGTCTATTAAGGCTAGTTTTCCCTTGTAGTTTTTCTCATTTCAGTATTTCTTAGCTATTCTTGCAATGTTTATTTCTCCATAACAAACTTTGGTGCAAATTGTCCAACTCTATAAAATAGCTTATTGATATTTACATTAGAATTGCATTAAGTTTAGAAATCAACTGATAAGAGAAATGACACCTTAATAGTGTTATCTCAACCAAGAACAGGGGCATTTTCCCATCTATTCAATTCATTTGTTTTGGTCCTTCAGGAGTGATTTAAAATTTTTCAGTGGAGTCTTTTGATTGATCTAGAAATGAGGAATGACTACCCTAGACCACAAGTGGTCATGAAAGAGGAAAAAGAAGAGACTAGAGAATATATCAAGGGTCTTCTAAAGCTACCTACATTGCCTCATTGATCCTTCCAACCACCCTGTAAAGTAGAAATTACTTAGCCATATTTTACAAATGGTAACAATGAGGTTGAGGTAATAAAGCTAGAAAGTGGCAATAAATAGTGGAGGGAGGATATGAACTCATCCATCTTGGTCTCTCCATTCCACAAATTGTCTGCAAGGGCATGCCAGGTAATGGAACATCTAGGGAAGGGAACATTGATATTAGGGTTTAGAATTTTCAGATGGTCATTAGAGCGATGGCAACTAGCCTTAACATTAGAACCCATTTCTAGTCTTGGATAGCAAGAGATTTCAACCTTTATGGAAACCAATTATTTGATCACAGCTGCCTAGAGTACTGTACTGAAATGGATTGTGAGACTTCAACTAGATATAATCGCAAAGTGTGTGGGGATCAGTTAGCAATATCTTAAACTTTATGTATATAAAGGTTGGGAGAGGAGATGTGACGTCTACCTATTAGCCAGTCTTGGACTGTACACTATGTCCAGAGAGCAGTGACAGAAATGGGGTGAGAACTTACTAGCCTGCTCCAGGATAGAATTTTTGAAACTCCAGGCTGAGAGGGCTTAAAGAATTGCTAGGTGTTTTTTAAGCATTTGGGGAAAATATTGCCAACTTTGTGTGTGATTTCAGTGGTTAGAACAATGATGTTATTTCAGGGCTTGCTCAGGTTCATAGAAGGAAGAAATTTTCAGCAATTAGAGTTTAACAAACATGGAAAACATGACATGGAGAAGTTCATGCAATAGCTGACTTATGATTGTGACAGAGACATTGAGTTTCAGGCTTTGGAAACCACAAGGTTTCAGGGTAGTTGTGGCTAAGACATTAGACAAGTCAATTACCTTGTCTTATGCTCTCTTAACCCCATTTAACATGGCTTAAGCCTCACTGATAATATAGTTTTACACTTATTTGTGTGATACCATGCTTAAAGTATTTCTCCATCACATATGCTTCCCAATGATGGAAGAGACTATTTTGCTCACAGTACTTGGGACAGGATAAATGTTCATTGAACAAATGAATCAATCAATGCAAGCAAGTCACTCTCAGTTGTTTCTTGCTGGAAGGCACCATCAGCTGGTGCTCAGGTCATAAGTAATATAATTCCTCTGAGGTGCCAAGTTATTAACTAATAGCAGAGACTCCAAGAGACATAAACAGTACAGAAATAGCACCCATGCTTCATCAACCATGCCAGTTTCACTCGTGGATCCACGAAGGGGTGAGGGGGTGAGGACAGAGGAAGAGGGAGGTTAGGAAGGAAGGGGAGGTAGGAACAAAGGGATGGTGTTTTGAGAGTTGTTCCCATAGAATTTGTACTTGCTTTTTGTAAACCTTATCACACTTACTGTTACTTGTTGAATATTGTCTTTTTTATTATATCCTACTGCTCAATGTCTAACTTTCCTGTTATATAATACAGACCATGGGGTGAAGACTATGTTTTTATTTATTGCTGTATACCAAACAGTTCTAAGGTAGTGCCTGGTACATAGTAGGTTCAGTATTTGTCAAATGAATAAATAAATGAATGAAATGTGACCTGGAATCTTTTTTCCCCTGAGTACAGTGTACTTTATTGCTGATACATAATAAGGCATGGGTCCCTAAGCCCTTTTCTTCTCCCGGGGGTCTGGGATGGAACTGAGACTCGTTGAGATTCTCAGTGTAATGGATCAGTGGGAAAAGGATTGCCCAGCTGCTGAGGGCCTCTCTCCTCCTCTTGTGCTCTGGCTGGTGTGATGGTCCAGGGGACTCTTACTCCTTGGAGGCCATGTGGACTATGAGGTCTATCACCCTGTTGCTGTAGCCAAATTCATTGTCATACCAGGATATGAGCTTCACAAAGTGGTCATTGAGGGCAATGCCAGCCCCAGCATCGAAGGTGGAGGAATGGGTGTCATTGTTAAAATCAGAGGAGACAACCTGGTCCTCAGTGTAGGCCAGGATGCCTTTGAGTGGACCTTGTGATGCCTGTTTCACCACCTTCTTGATGTCATCATATTTGGCAGCTTTCGCTAGGCGGCAGGTCAGATCCACAACTGACACATTGGAGGTAGGAACACGGAAGGCCATGCCAGTCAGCTTCCCATTCAGCTCAGGGATGACCTTGCCCACAGCCTTGGCAGCACCAGTATAAGTGGGGATGATGTTCTGGGCAGCCCCTCGGCCATCACGCCAAAGCTTCCCAGAGGGGCCGTCCACAGTCTTCTGGGAAGCAGTGATGGCATGGACTGCAGTCATGAGTCCCTCCACGATGCCAAAGTTGTCATGGATGACCTTGGCGAGGGGAGCCAAGCAGTTGGTGGTGCAGGAGGCGTTGCTGACAATCTTGAGGGAGTTGTCATACTTCTCATGGTTTACGCCCATCACAAACATGGGGGCATTGGCAGAAGGGGCAGAGATGATGACCCTTTTGGCCCCACCCTTCAAGTGAGCTCCAGCCTTCTCCAAGGTAGTGAAGGCACCAGTGGACTCCACAACATATTCAGCACCAGCGTCACCCCATTTGATGTTGGCAGGAACTGTCTCCTGGAAGATGGAGATGGACTTTCCATTGATGACAAGCTTACCATTCTCAGCCTTGACTGTGCCATTGAACTTGCCATGAGTGGAATCATACTGGAAGATGTAGACCATGTAGTTGAGGTCAATGAAAGGGTCATTAATGGCCACCACATCCACTTTGCCAGACTTAAAAGCAGCTCTGGTGACCAGGCGTCCGATCCTACCAAATCCATTCACTCCAACCTTCACCATGGTGTCTGAGGGATGTGCTGGCACAGCACGAGAAGGAGCTGTTGTCTGTCAAACTAGTAGGAACAGTGAGCTGTGACCTAGAATCTTTGTGTCCAATAAATCAGCATGTGAAACTTAAGTATAAACACACACAATCTCTTTTTTGGCTGAGTAGCATCATAATGATCAGCAAAAACAAGAGCCTTATGACAGGCAGCAAAAGGGGAGCTAAGATGGAAGTGGTGATCCTCTTTCTAAGCAATGATCACTCTAAGAGATATTGGAAAAACGCTAGTCACAAGAACTCATGAAACTAAAATTGCATCTGATGACCTCAAGGGTCAGGCTTTTGAAGTGAGCCTTGCTGATCAGCAGAATGTCGAAGTTGCAATTATAAAATTTAAACTTATTACTGAGAGTTTTCAGGGCAAAACTCCCTGACTAACTTCCATGGCATGATCTTACCTATGACAAAATGTGCTCCATGGTCGAAAGTGGCAGACTGTGATTGAAGTTCATGTTGATGTCAAGGCTACTGGTGATTATTTGTTTCATTTGTCCTAAGTTGGTTTCTTAAAAGATGCAATAAACAGATTTGGAAGGCATCTTAAGCTCAGCATCAACAGGTCCCCCAAATCTGGAAGATGATGAAAATTAAAACCCGAGGAATGCAGAAAAGGGTCAATAAACTGACCCCAAACGACATTGGGAAAATACAGAAAATGCTTGACAATCTATTTAATGGCCTCACAATGTCTTTGTTAGAAAAGTAAAAATGCCAGGGCCTCCCTGGTGGCTCAACGGGTTGAACGCCACACTGTGAGGCAATCTGCAGCCTCTGCAGCACAAGTTTGATCCCCGGCTGGCCAGAGAGAAACCCACATGGTGAAGCAGACCTCTCCTGTCTCGCCCAGTGCTCCCTTCAGCAGTGTATTTCAGTCAGTCTGCCTGTTCTGTTCCCCACTCTGTCTCTGGTGAATCCTCTCACCTCCCCCCCATCTCTGGCCTGTACCCCAGTTCTTGTATGAATAAATAAATAAATCTTAGGGAAAAAAAAGAAAAGTAAAAATGCCAAAGCCCAAGTTTGAATTGGGAAAACTCATGGTGCTTTACGGTGAAGGTAGTAGTTTTGGAAAAGCTACTGGGAATAAGAGAGGTGCTAAAGTTGAATGACTTGTTGGATCTAAGCCACAAGTCCAAAATTCTGTTTAAAATTCAGGCTTAATGGTGGGAAGTAAAAAGTCATATTTGTAATGCTTTAAAAAAAATGCATGGTCTCTACCTTCATGTATTCTGCAGCCTAGTGAGCTACTTAGTAACAAGCACATGAAACTCTGACATACAAAGAATCCTCATTCTACAGCAGGAATTAAGTTTAACCTTTCCCCCAGGAAGTTGCCTGTTATCAAGCCTTCAGTGGCCAATAAAAGGTATTCTGATCTCTTATGATGATTACCATACAATATCTCTACCTTTTTTCTGTACCATCTTCTAGCATGAAAGAACACAGGACTAAAATTAAGTCCAGAATATAGTCTCCTAACCACTCTAGTTTCAGTTTCCCCATTTATGAAATATGAGTGGGGTTGAGCATTGGAGTGATGACTGATTAGGACCTTTCTAGAGGTAATCTTTTAAGATTCTTAGAAAATCTAAGTTGCAAAGTGACTATACAAGGAGGTAGTTGTGTAGACATCTTTAATGAAAAGATGCCTCAAAAACAACCTGGGTCATCACAAAAACAGACAGAAAATTGGGCCTTATTTCATATAATCACTCATTTCATATAATCACATGAACTTAAAACACTGAAAGGAATATTAAGTTGTTTTTTTTTTCATTCAACACAAAAATATATATCTGAGAAACTAGAAGACAGTGCTTTGGCTAAAAAAAGTAGTTGATATTAGTTGAACTGTAAACTTTCAGGAATGTAATATTGATTACAGCTGAATAAAAAGAGAATATAAGAACGTAAGGAATAGCATGGGTTACTGTCGCTGGGAGAGAGTATTGTACTTGGAACCATGAGAAATATATGAGAGTAGTCAGGGCACTGAAAGAACAGGCTGAAATGGACTGTCAAAATGCATGAATGATTAATACGTAAGTGCAGTGGCATGGATTAGAATATACTGCAAATTTGATTGAGTAGAAAAAGTGTGTGTATTTGTGTGTGTATCCAACTGGTGTTCTTAAGTTATGCTTGAAATCAGAATCTTGTTGCTGTAAGAATATATTTGAAAACTAATGAACTAAAGATCTCCTATATCTGGCATTCAAGTTTTTTTTTTTCCTAGTTACCTTCTCTATCACCCTTGGCTCTATGGGGGCTGCCATATTTATTCTTATACGATCACAGTAACAGCTTTGACTTAAGCTTGGCCAATTACAATGCCTTAACATCCAGACCAGAGTTGAATCATTTGAACGTGGGTTCCCGACCCCAACTGGTCACTTTCCTGAGATTGCAAACATTTTTTACAGAAACTAAGCAACAATGATCTATTTATTTCTTTTAATTATGTGAGACACTCCAATATGCTTTCATTACATTTCCATTTTTGCCACATGAAGGTGAGGTTAGATTTTAATCACTTGCCATCCAAGTGGCAGGATATCTTATCTTGACAAACATCTTCTAGCCAGATTGCTCTGAGGAATACTCTCTCTACTCCTTTGGCCATGAAATTCTTGTATTTTTTCTTATCTACCCACTCATTCATGCAACAAGTATTTTCCAAGTAGCTACTTTGTGCCAGACAGGATTCTAAATCCTACCTTTCCCAAAGCTTCAGTTGCTGCCCATGACCTTTACTGCTGATCCACCAACTTCATCCTGCTTCAAAAGCCAATTGCACTCACACTCAGCAGCACTTTCCTCCTCACTGAAGCACTGGTCGCTGACATAACTGTTTCTGTGACATCATTCTATGAAATAATGGCCCTCAACAGAAATGGGGTGACAAAACTCCCATGTCTGAATGTCTAAGGGTGTTGTTCATTACACTTCACTCCATGAGAATCTCCGGAGAAATTTCTTTCCTATCTCATTATCAGTAGTACATGTAATTCTGAGTAACTGCTTCTTTTGTTTTTCTTTTTAAATGTCATCATCACCCTGTGAACAGTTTAAGTGGCTGAATTTCTCTTTTCCCAGTGGTTGCCAGAGAACTCAAATCAAATTGGTGCTATCCTCTTAGAAAACAGGTAACCATGTATATGAAGTCAGTAACTATTGCCTCTAGGTAGTAGAGGCTAAGGATATGTTCTATTTGTATAGTTTCTTTTTTAAAATTTTATTTATTAATGCATACAAGAACTGGGGTACAGGCCAAAGGTGTGGGGGGTGAGAGGATTCACCAGAGATAGAGCAGGGAACAGAACAGGCAGATCTACTGAAATACACTGCTAAGGGGAGCAGCGGGCGAGTCAGGAGAGGACTGCTGCGCCATGTGGGTAGCTCCCTCCATCTCGCACTACAGTAGCTGCGGATAGCCTCATAGTTTGTGTCTTAACCCCTTGCGCCACCAGGGAGGCCCTCTATTTGTTTTGCTTCTTAAACATGTAATTGGAATGCCTTTGGGCTAGGCACTCAAGTCTGTTGGTTGCCATAAGCACAGCTACTCCATTGTAAATTCAGCTTGTCACTTTACATGTGGATGCTACCTGCTGGCTCTCCAGACTAGCTGACTGCATGATTCTTCCTTGGTAGTTTGCATTAATTTAAAAAAAAAACACATTTTCTTTAACCCCTGGTACCCCAACTATTATCATCTCGACTAGCAATATCAACGTTTAAAAAAATATTAATGGGGAGGGTACTAAGCCTTTGGAGTTGGTGTCTATTTTTTTGTGTGTGTGGTTAAATATACGACATAAAATTTACCACTTTAGCCATTTTTAAGTGTGCTGGAAAAAAAGTTCTGGAATCAATCCTAGTGTGTTCGCCGGAGTTTCTCACACTAAGCAATTCTCCTATCCTGGTTGGGTGTCCTACAATTCAATTCAATTCTGACACTATCTGCCTGAAAATAGCTTCAGATCCCACAGCTTAAGAGCTCAGTCCCAAACTAAGCTCCCCACTTCAGGTACCAATTGCAAAACCAGGTAATAATCCCCTGGCTTGAACCAGTTGGCTATAGAACAGAAGGTCCAGGGACATCCCATATAGGGTTTGATTAATTTGCTAGAGCCATTCACAGAACTCAAAGAAACATTTTACTTACTTGCTTGTTTATTTTCAAAGGCTATAACTCAGTAGCAGTGAGATGAAAGAGATGCAAAGAACAAGGTGTGGGAGAAAGGGCACGTGGTTACCACACCCTCTCTGAGTGCAGCGCCTTCACCAATCTGGAAGTTCTCCAAACCCCATCCTTCTGTGTTTTTATGGAGGCTTCATTACATGGGCAGGATTGATTCAATCATTGGCCATTGGCAGTGGATTTAATATCCAGCCCTTCTCCTCTCCAAGAGGTCAAGGAGGTGGGGCTGAAAGGTCCACCTTCCAATCCCATGGCTGCATGGTGACCAGCCCCACACTTTGACAGTTCCCAAAAGTCCTCATTAGGTGTGGTTGAAGGGCTTTGTAATGACTATGAAGACACTTTCATGGCTCTTATCACTTAGTGAATTCCAAGGGTTTTAGGACTTCTGTGCCAGAAACAGAGACCAAATATGTGTTTCTTATAAATCACAATGTCACAACAGTTCATTAGTGTGTAACCATGACTGTTATTCATTTCCAGAACTTTTTCACTTTTCAAACTACAGCTCTGTGCTCATTAAATAATAACTCCCAGCCCGCGTCTCTCCAGTCTGCGGCAACCATCATTCGACTTTCTGTATTAAATTTGACTAGTTCAGTTACTTCATATTAATGGAATCATATAATCTCTGTCCTTTTGTGTCTGACTTATTTCACGCAGCATAATGTATTCAAGGATCCACATTGTAGTATGTCAGCATTTCCTTCTGTTTTAAGGTAGAATAATATTTCATTGCATGTATATACTACATTTTGTTTATTCATTGATATATGGTCTGCCTTCTGTATTAGTTTCCTTTTATGTTGACACACTTGCTCATTTTATTTTACAATTTGAAAATTTTTTTATAATAATTTTTTAAATTTTTTTACATCATTTTTCTTTTTTTTTTTTTTAAAGATTTATTTATTTATTTATACAAGCACTGGGTACAGTCAGAAGCGTGGGAGGGCGAGAGAATTCACCAGAGCCAGAGCGGGGAACAGAACAGGCAGACTGACGAAATACACTGCTGATGGGAGCAGGGGACGTGGCAGGAGAGGTCTGTCACGCCATGTGGGACCCTCGCTGGCAGCTGGGGATTGAACCGGCGCTGCAGAGGTTGTGGGCAGCTTCGCAGCCCAGCGCTCAACTGCTGTGCCACCAGGGGAGGCCCCACATCATTGTTCATTTTTAAATAATATTTGCTTCCCCCCACCCACTCAGGTGTAGTCCCCATAGAGTTTCCTTCACCAATGCACCTGTGCACCATCACCTCAGTCCCCTGTGCTCCTTCCTCCTTCCCTCTGATCCCTCTCCCTCCTCCTCCCCTGCAGGATGTCTCTGGTTTATAATTGTCCATTTTTGTTTTGTTGTGTTTTGTACTGTTATTATTTTTTTACACTGATGTCTTATTTGGTTCCTTATATTCCTGCTATAACACTTGCTCATTTTAGATAAGTCACCTTCAAACCTTTTGAGAATGGGGTGCAGCATAAATAAGTAAATTCATATTTTTCAACCTCAGCAAGACCATAAGCCCTTCATCAGTGGTGCCAAGTACAAGCTAGGCACAAAGGAGATACTGGACAATGTATGCATAGGAACACGACCTACTGGTGCCTAATGTGGGGGTGAGGTGAACAGGCAGGGGAGTGCCCACACCTTAGCCTGGGTGACATGAGACACAAAACCAGTGTTTGACTTAGGTGATCTTGTCTAGGTATTTTGGGATCCTGCCTTCTCTCAGCTTTCTGCAGCATCTTCTCATGTAATGGCATGGTCAACATGAGTCATCTTAAAAAACACTGAAGTGGGCAGGTATGGGACCACACAGCCTGAGGAATTGCTCCTTTTCTTCTCCTCTCCTTTCTATTCCAGCCTCCGTGCAGTTGCTTGCTGGGGACAACCACAGTGGGCTTAGAGGAGACTAAAATGTAGACTATTTAAAATCTCCAACATTATCCAATTGTCTAATTTGCTGGGAAATGCTTTAAAACTTTTAAAAATAGAGATTCAATTCAGCGATTTAAGGGGAAACCTTTAAACATCCACCTAAAAAGAGAAGCTTTGCAACGAACTATATAGAGTGCCAGGTTGTCCCAAGAGGCAAGGTTATATGGGGTCAGTGGCTTCTTCACAGAATAATTAAAGGGTGTTAAAAGTCTCCTCACTCTCAGCCCTCACATGCCAGGGGAATTCTCCAGCACGCAGTCACACTTAGAATTGAGGGTGTTAACTCCAAAAGGCTCTTGTGAAAAGGTTGCCTGAGAGGAGTGAGACGGACTAGAACAGCCTATCAACACAGCGTCTCTTAGGATCCCTTAGAATCTGGGAGAGTTGGAGGCAGGGTCAGAGGCCTCTAATTCACCTAGACAATAGCAACCCTGCATTGCCATCCCTGCCTGGGACAGCAGGTGTGTGCAGGAGCCACAGCAGGGCTGGGAGCTCATCACCCACATACCTCCCCTCATTGTGCAGCCCACTCTGGATTTGGCTGGCTTGCTATTAGTAGGGTTCTTATTTTATAGAGCACCAGTTGTCTATAATCGTTAGTTTTTCTTCTTGATTTGCCTTAACATACATATTTCTGATTCTAAATGTATCCACTCAGTTGGTCCTCACTTCATGAAGAATTAGCCTCTGAGGGACTGGAAAACCAGCTTGGCTGATTTTTTTATGACACAGGATGAGTTTAAACTATTCAATAAGACAAATCCATGTGAAGCTTGGTGGTGCCAAGGTGAAGGAGGGCAGCAGATCTGGCAGGGCTGCTGGGCAGCCAACAAGAACAGGAGGCCTTGATCACACCTGAAGACATGCCAGAAGAGAGTCCCTACGGGCACACCTGTTTTCCCTTGATCTCTCCCACCTGGTGACTGGGATACCATAATTCACTGAGCAGTGGACTAGTGTCAGGAAACCTCAGATCTGGGCCCAGCTTATCTTTCCTAGTTCTGTTACTTTCCGAAAATCATTTAAGCTCTTTCTACTTTACTTTGTTCATCTGCAAAATCAGATAATGATGCCTGCCTCCCTCTTAGGGATATGTTAGAAATAAAATGGGATAGTGCATGTGAATTCTAGTATGGATAGAGGGTTTTAAAGCACATCTATCAGGAGAAGTAATCTCTCTGCTTCTACTTTACCTTCCCGTCTTTAGTTCTCCTTGCATTATATAAAAACTTATTCACAGTCTTTTATGTAAGCATAAGTAGTTTGCACATTTTAAGGTGATTCATATCCCTTTTGAAGTACCATATGTAGTAAATATAAATAAATATATATATATATAAATAGTGGGTTATTAGGTTACTATTACCTTTGGGAAATATATTAGTGGAATTATGTATAAAATATATTGTGTAGAAAATACATTATACATATATTATGTATAGAATATACTTAAGAGGGAGTATATTAAGAAGAGAATATATTATAGATAGAATATATAATAAAGTAATTATAAAGTATGTAATATATTTTTATTATTGATTTAAGCCTTGACACAAGCACTTTAAAAGTGTTACTTTCTCTATTAAATGGGAAACTCCTTTACTGTGAAATGTGTGTCTCACACTCAGTTCTTTTCTTTTTATTGAGAGATATTAGTTTGTAAGACTGTAAACTAATAGGTTCCAGGGGTATAATATCTTACCTCA